CTTCTATCTCATAATGTTGCATTCTTAGCACAGTCTATAGCTATTCTTGAGAGCTACATGCGAAAAAGAGGGAGCATGGGGGGAGGAATTGGATCACTCTAAGGCCACCCAAAGAACTGTCTTACAGTTATGTATGTCCATAGTATTTTGAAACTGGGAGGTAACACTGTTTCTTTTCAAAGGAAACCAAGCTGGCACTGTATGTACCATGGCACCTATGAAAGAGAGCATGAACCAGGGAATAAGAAGCACAGAACAAACTTGGGTTTTAGAACCATCTGTGAGATGGGAATAAGACCTCAGAGGACTATTGTAAATCAAACAAAATATACAAACTGTTAAGCATTGTGTGGCAGATGGTTCTTAGAAAATCTTATTTATTACTAGGACTACAACTCCCAGTAAGGCACTCTGTGTAATATCTAGCACTTTAAACATGCTTAACTTCCTTTCTATGCCTTCCTAGTGATGACGTCACCCTCCTCACAGCCAAAGGTGCCTGGGTACCTTCTATCTCATTAGTAAGTATTTTACTCTAAATAGTTCCATCATCCACAAGCTGTTTTGCCCTCCTGCTAGCCCAAGAATTTATCTCAATAGGTCTATACGAGGAACCCAAGTATCCACCTAACAAGACAGTGGCCCTGCTTTTCAGCAGAGAAAACGTCCTCTCCAATCAGCCCTTGCCTAGGACTCCAGCCCATTCTTACCATTGTTTGTTTCCAAGCATTTAGTTGATTCACAATGTGCATTAAAGAACCAAAATATTTCTAGGATACAAAGATAGCCATGGTCCCTGGCATGCTTCTCCCTGTGTCCAGCTGCTCTTTAGGCTCTACAAGTTCCAGAATGCCAAAACATTGCTCCTGACATATAACACCTGCTTCGAGCACATGCCTCACCCCACACCAGCCTGGTTATAGCCACAGGCCATGTTTCATGATTCTACACTGCCCAGATGAACTTTTGTTGCTTGGCTGGCTTTTATGGTTGTAGCAAAGTCCATTTGGTCTTGTTTTAATAACATCCCAATAAAAGAGCTGGGAAATTAGATGCTAGGAATGACATTTAAATCCTCTACTTCCCTTTGCTGCAATAATGGCTTTCTTGATAATAAAGAAGATAAATTTTATTAAATTATGTGATGTTTTTCCATTTGAAAGCAATTAAAAAATGCTTTCAGTTCAGAATTACAAAACTATTTGCTTCAGATTCAAGGTTGACATTTTTATTGGCAATTTGAGTTATAACATGCTCAGTTCTGTGCCCATTCATTGGTCCCTGATACTTCTGCCAACTCTTTATGGCTTTATGTGAAAGTACAGTGTTTAAGCCTCCTCTAAATTCATGAGCTGCCCCTGCTTCTGAAAAATGCTCTCTCAGTGTCTCAACAATGCACAACCAGGCTGATGTTTATTTAAAAAACATCTGTTCCATCCTTTGTGGTATAACATACCAAAGTAGCCTGACATTTTAAATACTTTTTCTTTACACTTTGTGTCAAATAACGAGAGAAACTAACTACTTTTCTGATGAAAAACTGTTCAGGGCAATTACAAGATGATACAATAAGTGGTCTAAATGGTACCAAAAGTAATCAAAGGAAAACACTGGGATTAGCTTGAATGATGCAAAAGCCCACTTTTATGGAGATTTCTAGCTCCCCAAATATCTTCATGATTATGCTTAGTGCTTCCTAATTGATAATGAGAATAGTCCTTTGTTATTTAATTTTTTTAAGATAAGAAAGTGAATTATTGTTTTTAAAGTTTTTGACAAATAAGGACAAGGAAAATAACACTATCTCTACATCTCTGATTGCTAGGTCCACCTGGCAGTCAGGGGTGGCCAGGAATTCTTTTAGTGCTACTGACCACTGATTCATTGAAACCACTTTTCATCACCATCCTTACTTGCCAGTGTTATGGTCAGTGTAGAAGTGGATCAACGATATAAAGAAGTGCAGCATTTTTTTAAACCTAAGTGCATACAAATCACTTAACTATCAGAATATTGCCCAGACCCTGCTCAACCTACTTTAATGATAAGATGGCTGTTTCTAGAAAAACAGGTGCTTCTCATATTTGAAATGACAGTTTCTATAAATAGGCCAAACACATCTTCAACAAGATACACATACACACATGTAAAAAACTATTTTCTGTTATAGATTGGGCAAAAGTAAACTTTAGCCTCTATTGATAAAACCATAGGACTGAAGGTACTTGAACATTCTTTTAGACAAGACATCTGAAGCAAAGGAGACATCTGAAGGAGACGAAAGTCAAAAAGGGCTAAATTTTCTGAGGGGAAATTTGACAGCTACAATACACCCAACATAGGAGAAAGCACAAGTCTGTTTCCTAGGTAAAAGGAAGAACAGTTTCTCTCTGCTATTGAAAATCTTATTTCTGCAGTCACTAAACCACAGGATGTCAGTGCCAGAGGGAAGCCATAGAACAGCAGAACAGAAAGAGGCACTGTCCCCTCCCTGGCCAGTCTTGAGCTCTACCCTTTTCAAGAGGGTTCAATTACAGGTCCCGTCCCGCCCCCCACTCCCCACCTCGCCCCCGACAATTCATTACACACACCTAGGAGATTCTGCTATCCCAGGGGTTATTGATCCTGAGTTAACAAAAGCTCACAATGATACTCAAATGAATTCTCTAAAAGCAGTTAAAAATACAGGGCCTTAGGATATGTAGAAAGTACGTGCAACAGGGAAATGTTATTTGTGACCATTTAATATTGTGGTTCACTTTAGTCCATAAATCTCCTTTTCTGATTGTACCAGCCTACCTTGTGAGCACATGGGCCTTTGATTGCCCTCTTTATTAGCTTAGTAAATGGAGTGGTGTGTGAGTTTCTGTCACAGTGCTGACTCTGTTACAAAGTGCAAAGGGAACTCCCACCCACCATGGACCAGGAGGCGCCCTAATGCCAAAATCCATCTGTTTTATGGACAGTCAACAGAAATGTTTTGTCAAAAGGCACACATATAAATCTCTACTGCTGTCACTCTCTATTGGACCCTTCCACATTATATAACATGTCAAATCATTTGCCGTCTTAAAATCAAAAACAAAAGAGAGAACCCAGACTCCTCCCTTGACCCACATCCCCTCTAGCCACCACCAGATTTCTATCCTTCTCTTTATAACACCATTAGGAAGAAACAGTCATAATTCTGATCCCCATCTTCTCTCCTCCCATTTTTTCTTGATCCATTCCAATTGGGCTGTTGTTTCCACAATCAACCAAAATAGCCACTTTCAATTGTCACCAACAAACACCTTGTTGATGCTTGCTTACTGACTGCTCTTATTCTCCAGTCTCTTTGTATCCCTCCAGTCACCTTCCAACTTTTAAATGCTAAAGCATGTGAAAGCTCAGTCTCAATACCTCATCCCTTTTCTTTCTACTCTGTCTTTCTTGGTGCTGCTATCCAGATCCACAGACTTAGACACCATCTACATGCTGTTGACTGCCAACGTATACCTCCAGTCCAGATGTAATAAAACACTAGTCCCCAATGTTTTCTTAACATTCTCATCTGAATTCTAATAGAAACCCCAAACTTAACCTGTCCATTTCCTAAAACCAGTTTCTCCTAAAGTGTTCCTCATCTTAGGAAATAAAACTTCCATTCTTCAAGTTGTGGCAGCTCACTCTTACCCCTATAAAATTAGAGTCAGCCTTGACTCTTTCTTTCATACCTCATGTCCAATCTTTCAGTAAATTACTTTGAATCTACCACTGAAGTATTTCTAGAATAAAAGCACTTTTTGCCACCCTAGTACAAGCAACCATCATCATACAACCAGGTTTTTTCCAATGCCTCCTAACTGAATGTGTTTCCACACTTGATCCCAAATGTATATTTTTCACAAAGTGATCAAAGAGATCCTATAAAATATATATTTAAATTACATCTTTAAATGATCATACAGTGAAATTGACTCCTTTTTTGCTGTTCAGTGTCAAGATCTTGATACTCCTATGATCAAAATCCTCCAATGGCTTTCTGACGTCTCCACCCTGGCCCTCAAAGCCCTGCGTCAGCTGAACTCCAGTTACATCTCTCCATTTCCCAACTTCCTCACCTACCTCTTGTGCTCTGCTCCGGAACACTGTGGACTTGCTGTTTCTTACACCCAAAATCACTCTCTCACTTTTGCCTCTCCTCTGCCTGCAGTGCTTACCTTGTGAATATATGCTTCACTTAATATTTCACTCCCTCCAGGTTTTCTAGTCAAATGGTATCTTATCAGAAAAGTCTTATCTGACCATCCTATCTTAAAAAAAGACCTCAACTCCATGCCTTGCACTGTACTGTACTTTCTTTCACAACATTTATCACACCTCCTGGCTCACTACTTCTATTACCTGTTTATTCATTTGCATAATTATTATCCATCACTCTTTACCAGTATGGAAATTTAATGAGGGAGAATGTTTTTCAGTGTTATATCCCATTGTCTACAACAGTATGATTCACGTAGTAGTACTCAAATACATATTAAATCACTGAGTCAATAAATCTGTGAATGTTAGTTAAGCTTAGAAAGGACCACAGAGAACATCACATTAAATTGAGTTTATCACACAACTCTTACCCAGTAGAATTTGTCAGACATTCTTCTAGGCACTAGGGAAGGAATAACATACAGATTATTTACAGTACACTTAACTTTGCAAAGTTAAAAATTAGGCATGCCTTTTGATGTCTAAATTTTAGAAGACATTTAAGTAAAGATGATGGAAAATTTCCACGTTAGAGGAAATCTTAACTAATTACAATTTCCTATGTCCATGTACACATATGTATATACACACACAGGATTCTTTCATAGGAGAAACAGAAGGTATCTGAATGGACAAGCTGAAATCACATATAACAAAAATAAGGAGTAAGGAGGGGCTCTAGGGAAGTTTCTATATGTTTAGTTGGTTAAGTCATAGGTGAGAAAGGAGATTTGCAGGAAAGTAAGCAAAAGTTTCTGTATTAGTTCTTTCTCAGGCTGCTATGAAGAAATACTTGAGACTGAGTAATTTATAAAGAAAAGAGGTTTTAATCAACTCATCATTTCACTAAGCTGGGGAGGTCTCAGGAAACTTGCAATCATGGTGGAAGGGGAAGCAAGTACCTCCTTCTTCATATGGCGGCAGCAAGGAGGAGTGGGGAGCTAAAGGCGGGAAGTCCCCTTGTAAAACTATCAGATCTCATGAGAACCCACTCACTATCATGAGAACAGCATGAGCGTAACCACCTCCAGGATTAAATTACCTCCACTGGGTCCCTCCCATGGCACATGGGGGTTATAGGAACAACACTTCAAGATGAGATTTGGGTGAGGACACAGCCAAACCATATCAGTTACTATGCATGGTGAACAATCATTTTATAGTGTAAGGAAATCTGTGATAAATATTTATTTTAAACAACCCATTTTCTCTTAAACAAGGTGGGTGATTCAGATTATCCTCTGAATGATACTAGATATCATTCCCATTCACAATCCTATAAAAGACTACATTCGTGTCAGTGTAAGCTTTAGGAAAACAGGACCAAATGGGACAACGAACATCTTTTTGAGGGCATTAAATCTTATATCACCTCATGTATGAACACATAAACACACCTAATTTTTACTTCCTTTCTCTGTATTTTCACAAGGAGGGTGGTGCTTATACCTGCCGCTGGGAGACTAGAATACAGGTCACATCACAGGGTCCCTTGCAGACATTACCTAGCACCAGCCTAGAGTATGGCAGCCCCCGCAGGTAGACTCAGAGAAGCAACAGGATTCACAGTACTCTGGTCTACTGTGAAAAAAGGGAAAGTGCACCGAATTAAGGAAGCAGCACATGAACTGAGAAAACCAGACTGCAGGTCTTCAGTCTTGTGGGAGGTTTCTTTCAGCCGAAGCAAAGGTGCAGTGCTGGACTCAATGGGGAAAGTCAGCAGCTGTACCCCACAGTCAGGCAGCCCCAGTGCTCATGAAGAGTCTTAGAGAAGGAAACTTCTTCCCCTCACCCACCACTGCAGAAAGAGTTGGGGCTTCTCCCACGGGAGTTCAGCATGGGTGCATCTGGAGACAGCCTTTCTGGAACATTTCAGAGTAACTGCATTTGCTCCCAGATTTATAAAGTAATTACCACCAGACCCTAGGAAAAGAAATAGATGGCAACACAATAATAGTGGGAGACATCAACACTCTACTGGCAGCACCAGACAGATCATGGAGGCATAAAGTCAACAAAGAAGCGCTGGACTTATATTGCACTCTAGAACAAATGGATCTAACATATTACATAACACACTACCAAAGAACTGCAGAATATACATTCTTCTCATCAGTACGTGGAACATTCTCTAAGACCATACGGCAGACCAAAAAAAGTCTCAATAAATTTTTTAAAAATCAAAATCATATCACATATCTTCTCAGAACACAATGGAACAAAACTAGAAATAAATTTGAAAAGGAACCTTTGAAACTATTCAAATATATGGAAACTGAATGATATGCTCCTGAATGATTTCTGGGTTAACAATGAAATTAATAATATGAGTGATTACAGTGACAAAAGTTATTAAAACCTCTGGGATGCAGCAAAAGCACTGCTGAAAGTAAAGTTTATAGTACTAAATGCCTACATAAAAAAGTCTGAAAAATTACAAATTGATAACCTAGCATCACACCACAGGGAATTAGAGGAACAAGAAGAAATCAAACCCAAAGGTAGCAAAAGAAAAGAAATAACAAAGGTTAGAGCAGAACCAAATGAAGCTGAAATCAAAAACAGCAAAAAAGATCAATGAAACAAAAAGCTGGTTATCTGAAAAGATAAACAAAATTATCTATGTTAACCAGGAAATGAAGACAGAAGATTCAAATAAGCTTCATTAAAAATTAAAATGGAGACATTACAACTGACACCACAGAAATACAAAAGAGAATCTGAGACTACTATAAATACCATACCTCTCTGCACACTAACTAGAACGTCTAGAGGAAATGGATAACTCTTGAACAGTTACATCCCCCTTAATTCGAATCAGAAATAAATAGAAATACTTAACAAACCAATAACAAGCAGTGAGATTGACTCAGGAATTTAAAATGAAAATTAAAAAAACTGACAAAAGAAAAGCCCAGGGCCAGATGGATTCACAGTCAAATTCTTCCAGACAGTCAAAGAAGAATTGGTAATAATTCTACTAAAACTATTCCAAAAGATTGAGAAGGAGGGAATCCTTCCTAGCTCATTCTATGAGGCCAATATCACCATGATACAAAAGCCAGGAAAGAACATAATGAAAAAAGAAAATTACAGACCAGTATATCTTAAGAATATATATGCAAAACTTCTCAAGAAAATAATAGCAAACTGAATTCAACAGCACATCAAAAAATTGACCATTATCAGGTGGGTTTTATTCCTGGGATGCTTCAACATATGCAGGTCAATAAATGTGATTCATCACATAAACAGAGTTTAAAACAAAAAACATGATCATCTCAATAGATGAAGAGAAAGTCTGATAAAATCTGGCATTCATCTATGATAAAAACCCTCAACAAACTGGGCACAGAAGAAACACACTTCAAAATAGTAAAAGCCATATGGGACAAACCCACAGCCAACATCATTCTGAATGAAGAAAAGTCGAAAGGATCCTCCCTGAGAACTGGAAGAAGACAAGGATGCCCACTTTCACCACTTCTATTCAACATAGTATTAGAAGTCCTAGCCAGAGCAATCAGGCAAGAAAAAGAAATAAATGGCATCCAAATTAGAAAAGAAGTCATCAAACTATTGCTATCTGCCAATGACATAATCTTATACCTAAAATACCCTAAAGACCACTTCAGAAGAGTTCTATTAATGAATTCAACAAAGCCTCAGATAACAAAGCCAATGTACAGAAATCAGTAGCACTGCTATACACCAGCAATGGACAAGCTAAGCATCAAATTAAAAACTAAATCCCTTTTATAATAGCTAAAAGAATACCTAGGAATATACTTATCCAAAGTAGTCAAAGCTCTCTACAAAAAGAACTATAAAACAGTGACGAAAGAAGTCATAAATGATATAAACAAATGGAAATAAATTCCATGTTTATGGATTGGAAGAATCAATTTCATAAAAATGACTACTATGCCCAAAGAAATCTACAGATTCAATGCAATTCCTGTGAAAATACCAACGTCATTTTTTATGGACTTAGAAATAACAATCCCAAAGTTCATAAGGAACCAACAGAGAGCCCAAATAGCCAAAGCAATACTAAGCAAAAAGAGCAAATCTGGGGGCATCACATTACCGAACTTCAAATTATACTACAAGGCTATAATAATCCAAACAGCATGGTACTGGTATAAAAGTAGACACAGATCAGTGGGACAGAATAGGGAATTCAGAAATAAATCCCAATACTTACAACCAATTGATCTTTGACAAAGCTCACAAAAACATCGATTAGGGAAAGAATATCCTATTCAATTAATGGTTCTGGGAAGTTTGGACAGCCACATGCAGGAGAATGAAACTGGATCTCTGTCTCTCACCATACACAAAAGTTAACTCAAAATGGATTCAATACTTAAATCTAAGACCTGAAACCATATAAAGTATGGAATGAAACCTAGGAAAAACTTCTGGCCATTTGCCTAAGCAGAGAATTTATGACTAAGATCCCAAAAGCAAATGCTCACAAAAAAAAATAAATAAATAAGTGGGACTTTATTAAGCTAAAAAGCTGCACAGCAGAAGAAATAATCTTTGAAATTGACAACCTAGAGAATGGGAGAAAATACTTGGAAATTATGCATCTGATCAAGGACTAATATCCAGAATCTACAAGGAACTCAAAGAAGTCAGCAAGAAAACAGCAAATATTCCCAATAAAAAGTGAGCAAAAGACATGAATAGATATACAATGGCCAAGAAACATTTTTTAAAATGCTCTAAATCACTAATCATCAGGGAAATGCAAATTAAAATGATAATAGCATATCACCTTACCCAAGCCAGAATGACTATTACTAAAAAGTCAAAAACAATAGACGTTGGTGTGGATGTGGTGAAAAGGAATGCTTATATACTGTTGGTGAGAATATAAATTAGCACAACTCCTACGAAAAACGTATGGAATTTTCTCAAAAAAATGAAAATCAAACCCACCATTTGATCCAGCAATCCCACTACCAGTATTTACCCCACAGAAAAGAATTCAATAAATAAAAAAGATCGCTACAAACATATGTTGATCACAGCATAATTCATAATTGCAAAGATATGGAATCAACTGAAATGCTCATCAACCAATGAGTAGATAAAGAAAACGTAGTATTTCATACCATAGAATACTACTACCATAAAAGAGAATGAAATACTGTCTACTGTAGCAACTTGAATGGAACTGGAGACCATTATTCTAAGTGAAGTAACTCAAGAATCAAAAACCAAATACTGCATGTTCTCACATATGGGCACTAAGCTATGAGTACAGAAAAGCATACAGAGTGGTATAATACACAGTGGAGACTCAGAAGGGAGGAGGTTGGATGGGGAGTAAGGGATGAAAAACTACCTGTTTGGTATAATTATAATGTATACTACTCAGATGATATGTGTACTAAAACCTCAGACTTTGCCACTATACAATGCATCCAAGTAAGAAAAAAACCACTTATAGAGCTATTGAAATAAAAACATTTTTTAAAAACCACTTCCGAGGTTACAAAGGAATTTCACAAGATAATTTTATCTTTTCAGATAACCACCTTTTTGTTTCACAAGGACTGTCTGAAGTGTCTTAGAAGGAAGACAACATTCAATGTGTAAAAATGTGATCAGAATAAAACAGTTGTTCTTTATAACAGTCGTATCTGAAAATGACAAAAGAGTTAAGTGAAAACCAGTAAAGCCAAATCACTGATCCAGGTACAAGAGGCATTTCAACCACACTTTTAGATTAGGATAGCAATATTTTTTTCCTTATGTTTAAATCAATAGGTACATAAGCTTCCAGGCTATTAAAGTTATAAATTGGATTCATAAGGTCATCCAAGGGAATCTGACCTCAGCACACTGAGAAAGAAAATTAGCTCAAATGGACACCATATTTGGATTCTACCCTCAAACAGGCACGTGTTACACTCAGTGGGAATCGTGTGGGTGTTAGTGAGGGGAGAATTGTCCTAGAATAGTTATACTTTTGCAAATGAGCCATCTATTTCATTAATGTTTTAGTTCTACTAACAAGTACATCAGCCAGAAAATTCTTCACTACACTTTATTTTTATTTTGTTGAATGGATAGGTGTCAAATGGAATATCTTTTATGATTTACTGAAAGTGTTTTTATTTTCTTAGTAAGTTGGTTCAACTAGCAGTAAATATTATTTAAAAAATAAGCAGTAAATAAATCAGACATTTATTATTTACAAGAAAAAAGTACCTTTCCTATATTTTATTTTTGCACATAAAGATTTGACTATTAACTATATACTTAAGTGATTTATTTACTCTGGTAACAATCCAGGCAGAAATATTTAAATTCTACTCTTGGAATAAGAATTATCTAATCATTCACAAGCTCTTATAATAAAACATTTATCGTGAGCCATTAATCCTTTAGGACTTATTTTCCATCCCATCCTTTCACTAGCACCTTGCTTTGAACATAGTCAAGTTTGGCTGCAATTTTTCCTTTTATCATATATCATAGTTACAGGGTGAGATGCACCAAAGCTGGATTCCAAAAACCCTGCACTTTGCTTGAACTTTGCACATAGAAAATCAACTAGTGATTCCAGGGCTGAGACTCATCCAGGCTCAAGGCCTGATATCGCACTTGGATCACAGAGTACCAAAAGTTTAGGGTTAGAAGATGACAGGAAAAAAATATCTAGTTGCAACGTTACCTCACAGAGGTTCAAAAGTAGGTTTTAAATTCACAGGGTACTTGTATTAGTCAGTTCTCACATGGCCAATAAAGACAAACCTGAGACCGGGTAATTTAGAAAAAAAAAAAAAAAGAGAGACTTAATGGACTCACGTTTCCATATGGCTGGGGAGGTCTCACAACCATAGCAGAAGGCAAAGGAGGAAAAAGGCATCTGTTACATGGTGGCAGGCAAGAGAGATTATGCAGGGGAACTCCCATTTATAAACCATCAGATTTCATGAGATTTATTTACTACCCCAAGAACAGTATAGGTGAAACTGCCCCATGATTCAATTATCTTTACCTGGCCCCACCTTTGACATGTGGGAATTATTACAATTCAAGAGGAGATTTGGGTGGGGACATAACCAAACCATAACAGTAATATTCTGGTAGTATTATGTACAGGGCTAAATGAGGTGACTCTGAATACACTTCTCTTATCCACAACTCCCACCCCAGCCTGTTTACCTCTACTTTGAACTGTGAAAGCCTAGTAACGCTTTCTTGAAATACCTAACTCACTGCAAGTAAAATTCCTTGAATGTTTCTTGGGCCTAAATAAGACCAACACGTATCTTCAGTTTCCTGTTGGATAGCAAACTACCTTTATTCAAAAATTAGTTAGACTAAAATAATACAATATAAATAGAGATCTGCATCAAATATGGCTTTTAATTGCTCAAAATAATAGTTAATTTTGCACTAAAAGGGGTAAGGAGGAAGTAACAGATGATTGCACTAAAAATAAGGAGCTGTGTTTTTAAATCAAATCTGCTGTCATTTAATAAAATTATTACTACTTTGTCTCACAGTAATGTTGTAAAATTAAGCTAGTGTTCAAAAAACATTTTGTAGACTACAAAGCAGCGGCCTATATGCCATTATTTTAATAATTTGTGTCAATCATCTTATTGGGTACCAATAAACTTACTGGGTACCATACCCAGATCTCTGCTAGCAAATGGAGAAACAATCTAATAGTAGAGCATATAGGCCAAATGTAATCCCAAAAATGCATACTATAGCAATTTTACAGATGAGAAAACAGTTTTACAAGAGATCAGTGATTTGACCAAAGCTACACAACCACCAAATGGCAAGAGATGAAATTTAAGCTGCAATATGCTTGCAAAAGAATAATTCATTCTTGGGTCTACGGTAAAGTGATACACTTCTTCTAAAGCTCAAATTCTCAAAGAGGCTAATGGGCCCATCTCCATGGATACGCTAGCCAAGTGTTGTAACAGAAAAAAAAATCAAGTAGAATGAGCTATTGCAGAAGCACAGAAGAAAACAAAACAAAACAAACAAACAAATATACATACACACAGTTGACCTTTGAACAAAATGGATTTCAACCATACAGGTCCACTCTATGTGGATTTTTTCCAATAAAAGTTACAGGGAGTGTACCTGCCTCTCCTGACTCCCCTTCCACCTCCTCTACCTCTTCTTTTGCCATCCCTGAGACAAAAAGACCAGCCCCTCCTCTTCCTTCTCCTCAGTTATTCAACATGACAGCAAGGATGAAAACCTTCATGATAATGATCCACCTCCACTTAACGAATAGTAAGTATATTTGCTCTTCCTTATAATATTCTTAATAAGATTTTCTTTCCTCTAGCCCACTTTAGTGTAAGAATATAGTATATATGTAACAAACAACATACTAACATGTTGATTAACAACATGTTAATCAACTGTTCATGTTATCAGTAAAGCTTCCAGTCAAAAGTAGAGTATTAGTAGTTAAGATTTTAAGGAGTCAAAAGTTATAGGTGGATTTTTGACTACTTGGTAGAGAGAGGCCAGTGCTCCTAACCCTGGAGTTACTCAAGGGTCAAGTGTATACCCACATGCATTTTCCTTACAGAGGATAAACATTTGAGGAAATGTCATATATGAGAGTTAGAATAAGCTAGGACATGCCATCAATAACACTATATTTCTTCTATTTTTTCAATGTAAAAGATACAGTTTAATCTTTTTGTTTTCTTTTAAAAAATTATTATTTTGTGATTGACAAATTATAATTGCAAATATTTATAGGGTACAATGTAATGTTATGATATAGGTATATAGCATTGTGTGCTTCAAAAATGCTGTTTTTAAAACTGAACACAGCTTACAATTCATTGTCAAAAGCAACTTGTCAGTAGAGTGATGATTATGAGAGAATTTTCATAGTTTGCTCATCTGTGAATATAGCTCAACTACAAGGTAGTTCACCAATAATTATCTCTAAGTAGTCATTTTCATTGATGCCATCACATATAATCAGATTTAAGCTTACATTTATAACACCAATTGTTGCTTAAAATATTTCAAGATTATATTATAAAGCAACATTAAAAGAAAAGTATTTTTTGTTTGCTTAAAATGTAAGCATATTGCTTGTCACATCAGACAATTCAACAAATGTCAGCAAAATTCCGTGTTTTTCAAAATTAGCAAAGACCAGTAGTTTGGGCCCAAGCCAGGATGACAGACAAGTAAACAAACTGACTCCCAAGCTCTTCTATGCCCTCCCAGACACAAAGTACTGTCTTTCCAGCATTAGAAATTTGTCAGAAATGTTCTGGCTTCTCTCAAAAGAAACTACTGGACTTTCTGTGAGAAGTAATTCAATTAGTCAAAAAGAAGAAGAAAGAGGTAACTTGGTCTCCTATGACAAACCTCAAATTTCACTGTCAGTAGTAAAGGTGCTGTGTCAAAATAACAAGCAGGAGGTAAGAAAGGAGAAGTCAAATGGTATTCTCTGTAATCCCTAGTGGCCAAATTGATTCACAAAATGTTTAGACTGGATATTTGCATGATTCACCTCAAACATTGATGTTGAACCTAAAGAGGAAATTAATAGGTATTATATGGATTAGAGTATGTTAGTGGTTAAAGATACAATAAAACTAACATACTTAAGCCGTATCCCCCCCATGTTATCATTAAATCTGGTGGTCAAGTTATCATTGTTGATGTCTTAAATTTGATGATGTATGATTAAAACCATAAAAGTGAATCATTATTGAGGACTTACCGGGCACTGTATTAAGCTTTTAAATTTTTATTATCTTCCTTAAATCACACAACACTATGTGACAGGTATATTATTGTCATTTTGTGGGCAACAGAACTGAGAGTTGGACACAGATAAAATCCATTTTCACCACTCTGCTGATAAATGATTAAGCCAGAATGTTAGCCCAGGCCTCTCTGATGACTGGGTCCTTTCTTCAATGATCACACTGCATGAATGAACCTCTAACTGCAGGAACATATTTGTCATCTGTCTAAAGAGATTCCAAAAGTAAGAAAACACCTGCCCTTCTAGAGGTCATAAACAATCCTTTAAACATTAGAAAGACTGAACTTTGGTTCTTTCATTTCTAAGTATTACTGTTTGCTGCACCTTTGATTAAATCCCTCGCTACAGACTGTGTGGTAAAAACACATATGAGGCCTTCCTATATAATTTTTCAGACACTCTAAGAGAGGATCTTGCTAAATGTAATGTGATAGAACCAAAGAAGCATCTCATGCCTTTTGACAGGGGCTTCTTATGCACATGGGTTATGTCACTTTTGTTATTCATAACTCTTCTGTCCCAGAAGTTCTGACAATATAAAGTAGACAATAAAACAATTAAAATGGAACTATTTTTCAACTACTTCTCATCAGCAGCAGGTCATCCAGTTCTAACCTGCCTAGACCGTACCATCTCACACTTCAATCTCAGCTTATCTGTAAAGTAGGGAGAGCCATACTTTCCTCCCATCACTTACTTTAATTCATTGGTCATTTAATGATACCAAAACCAGACATGTTCAAATGTCTGCATTCCCTGACACATTACAGATGTTTGTACTTCTGGATTCTGAGGGAAAGTGGCAATACAAAAAGCACTGGATTCCAATTTCTCTCTACCTAGAGTAAGCTGCCTCTGCACATTACACATGTGTCATGCACTTCTACACTCACAGCACATATGCATTCACACATACACACAAATGCACAGCACATCCTCTGTGTGTATGATCCCATGCCACCCTTCCCCTAACTAATGGAGAGATGACATTGGTTGGAGTGGCAGCCCTTGTCTTTGCTCTCTCAGTTTTTCTTGCCTGATTTCTTCAACAGGAAGCAAATTTTTCAAATAATGCATTATATGATTTAATCTGCAATGCCTAATTCCCAGGTCACCT